AAGAAGGGAAAAAAACTCACAATCACTGCCATTCTGAAATAAATCTTTGTCTGAAACAAAGGTTGCCTTGTTTCTTTATATATTATTATCAACTAATTTTTTGAATTAGTAAAATCACTAGGGAGTCCCTTACTTAAACCTATAACTCATTTTGACTCCTTCTAGATTTAATCAGTTAGGTTTATGGATATTAGCCACAAAAACTGTTATATTCACTGTACTGATGTTGAAAAATGTTTCCTCTAAGAATTCTAAGGGATGAACCAAAGATCTCAGTAATAGGACTAGTTTTGTTTCTCCTAAGCTTATTTATTTTTTGGTACTGGGGATTGAATCCACAGGTGCTTAACTGCTGAGCCACATTCAGAGCCCTTTTAATTTTTTGAGATAGGTTTAAGTTGCTTAGGGCCTAGTAAGGCCCTAAATTACTGAGGCTGGCCTCAAACTTGTGATCCTCCTGCCTCATCTTCACAAGGTGCCAGGATTATAGGTGTGTATCACCACACCCAACTCCCCTAAGCTTATTTCATAAATACTCTAAAACACAATTTCTTTGGGTGGTCTGCAAAAGAAGCTCAGAGCATTAACTGTACAAAAATCTCATAATTCTGGGGGATGAACTTGATTAACTTTATGTGCACGTATGAATATAGATATTGAACCCTATTATTATATATAAAATACTAAGAAGAAATAATTTTCAAAAACTCTTATAGCTCCTTTACTCTGGAACTCTTCAAGTTTACTTTCCGCAATATACAGTATTAGTTATGAATAATCACTCTTATTTTCTCTTTACTAATATAGTCACTTTCTTTTGATTTTCCTTCCTATTTTTATAAGCTACCCCGAATTAGTAAAAAGAAAATAAAATCAAATAAATGTCAAGGTTTTAGTTCAGAGGTTCAAATTCATATCCAGATATGCTGTACTTACCTGATCTTTCACACACTCTACTGTGGCCCTACGCAGGGGCGTGATGTTATAGGCCATAGTCTGTGCATTTTGGCCCAGGACACACAATTGGAACTTGACACTCTCCCCTTTCTGCAGGCAATCCCATTTATTGGCCATTCCGACTATGCCAAATGGATACACCTCACCTTTCATATCCCCTATAGAGAAACAGGCACAAAGTCTAAAAGCTAATATTTTACAACAGTACTCTGCAATTCTTCTAAATATAGGTGCTGGAAAATGTGTCATGAGAAAGTTTACCTTTAAGCTTAAAAGGAACTCCAAATGTTAAATACTAAACGAAAACAAATGAGAACTTGATCACTTATTAGTACTTTACTAGCTAATGAACACTTTTAAAATGCATTCATGAACTTAAAAATATAACAAACATGAAATCTTATTAGCTGGATTTAAGCATTATTCTCTTCCAGTGTACAATATAAACCAAATAGACAAAATATTGCTGCCCCATACCCAATCAGAAAGTAAACCAGTTAGACATAGGCAAACAATGCAGAACAGAAAACCCTTCTTTAACATTCCACCTCCTAAGCTTATGAGACATCCTGTCTATCACAACTACCCAACAGTGCCGCTGTAGTGATATAGCAATCAAAGAAAATATGTAAACAAACGAATGCTATTTTTTTCAAGAAAACTACAAAAACATGCCATCTTTTTTCCCCTCCTTGAGTTCTGCCCTACAACAGTAAAAAATTTTCTAGAGGTTAGTGCAGGATACAGATAATAATTGAACCAATGAGTTTGGGTGCATATCAATTTAGCACCCAGAAAAATCCAATGAACTAATAAAGGAGAAGAGAAAAATAGGCAAAAAATGGAAGCTTTGGAACTGAAAACACTTTTTGGCGGGGGTAGGGGGGTGGGGGGAGTATTTGCTGAGGACTGAACTCGGTGGCATTCAACCACTGAGCTACATCCCCTGCCCTATTTTATATTTTACTTAGAGACAGGGTTCTCACTGAGTTGCTTATTAGCACCTCGCTTTTGATGAGGCTGGCTTGGAACTTGAGATCCTCCTGCCTCAGCCTCCTGAGATGCTGGGATGGAAACATTTTTATCATCCTGTTAACACACAGAAGTAAAGATTTAAAAAACAAAAATATGGGCTGGGGTTGTGGCTTAGTGGTAGAGCGCTCACCTAGAATGTGTGAGGCACTGGATTGGATCCTGAGCACCCCATAAAGAAATACACAAAATAAAGATATTGTGTCCATCTACAACTAAAGAAGAAATCTTAAAAAAAAACAAAAACAAAAAAACAACACCCAAAAAACCCCCCAAAACATGCAGGAACCCAAAATGTGAAGATAATTCTAGCAAATCAAGTCATACATAACAGTGATTACAGATTTAATTACCATTTTATTAAGCACTCATTTCTTTTTTGCAGTATTGAAGATCAAATCTAAGAACTCAATGGGGCTGGGGCTATGGCTCAGTGGTAGAGCGCGCTCACCCGCATGCATGAGGCACTGGGTTTGATCCTCAGCACATAAAAATAAAATAAAGGTACTGTGTCCATGTACAACTAAAAAAATACATTAAAAAAAAAAAAAAAAAAAAGGCTGGGGCTGTGAGACTCAGTGGCAAAGCGC